GTTCGCGAATGGATCTCTAGCGTTGAAGAATTGATGATCGCATTTCACCTAATCGCGGCAGGTGCCGTGTATTTCGGCGCTCTTGTCGATAAAAGCTCTCACGTTTCGTAAGACGGGTAAATGGAAAACGTCTGCGCGTTTCAGTCTCGCCTCATCGTGTTTCTTAATGAATAATCGCAATGACAGACGTGTCATCTGTCGTAATTTCGCGAAAGTTTCGCGAAACAGACGAGGAAAATAAAAAAGTGAAACGCGAGAGAATTTTTATCACACTCAACTCGTTTAGGGGAGAGAAACACGTCGATCTCTTCTTTTCTCCCTTCTGGGTTTTGTTTCGCGAACGACGGTGGTGATTAGACGAATCGCTGCGGAAGGAAACGGGGAGTTGTGGAGAGACGGAACTGAAAGTCCGAAGACCGAGGACCGAAAGAGAACGGGCGAACAAAAGACGGCCCCGCTGTATTATTATGTCGGTCCCCACTTATTCACGATACACTCTACCGGTGCAGACAAGAGAAGCAAATAAAAAAAAAAAAAAACCCCAGAGTCGAATACCGAGAGTGAACGATAAAGGAAAGAAGCAAAGGGGTGCATTATTTCAGCGTTACATTTTGAACAAAATTCTTAACGCGCGCACACAAAAACACACACACATATACACTACACGTAAGACGATACATCTCTTTTCCGTCAAAGAAAGTGTTTGAAGTTCTATAGAAAAGAATGTTCGCGAAGGAGGTTTCACAGGAAGCCATTTTAATATCGAAACTAAAAAATTTCAGAGTTATTACGCAAGAATAAATTTCGAAAAGAAGAATAAAAATTGCATTTTACTACGTGTTACGTTATTGCGTAGGTTCGAATATATTTCGTGCAATTTTTATCGCGCGCGTGCGTTTGAAAATCTTTCCATCTGCTATCCAATCATCGAGTGATAAAATACACTCAAATCGCGTGAATAATGTCCGCGGATATGATTCGATAATGCTGCTCGAATTCGTATATATAAAACTTCGAATATTTTGTTTTATTTACGCGCTGCTGCTGCCGCGTTTATTGGATCCACGTACATGTGACTGTAAAACGCGGGCTCGATATAATATATTCCAACGGGGAAACGCGCGCGAAGCCGGAGAATTTCCACCGACCATAAATTTTTGGATTAATAAATAATATCGGTACAGGCGCGCGGCGACGCGACTCCCCGTGTGAGGTCACCGGAAGCAAGACGCAACTCATCCTAGATTACGAACCACCGTAACTGGAGGTAACTTAAAAGCAGCGATGCGCGCAGCATGTACCGACTTGTCAACGCAACTATAATCCGGCGTGGCGTAACGAATGTTAAAAGACGATACTTGTATTTGGATTTTTTCTTGCGCGTATAGCATTCGTTCGATCCGCTAAAGGATCCGAGATTTCTTCTTTACGTTCTATCAATTATTCATCTCCGCGTTTCTTCGCGAAGTAATCGCTAAGGATCACGCACGCTCGGCGCTTGTTTACACTGCGACGGGAAGTTAAGAGGCTCGGATGCCGGGTTTCCGGCCGCCGAGGCGTCGAGTAATCAACTTTGCTGACCCAGAAAGTCAAAAGGGCTTCGTTTACTTGCCGGGTTTTCTCCCGGTCTCTTCTCTCGCTATCTCCATCTCTTTCCCTGCAACGGATCTCGTCCCTCTTTTCATGGCTTATCCGAGAATACCTTTCTTTTTCTCCCAACGTCGCGCGCGGCGTTTCTCCGTTTCACCCATCTTCTTCCTTTTTCTCCTCCTCCTTCTCCTCCTTCTTCTCCGTTCCTGCTTATCTCTGTCCATCCCTCGATTTTCAGCTCGGCGGCGTTCCCATCCACCGGAACAACGTCTGGATCCAGTGGATCTCAGATACGGTGGGTACAGTTAAAATCGGGCGGTGACCGAAAACTTCAATATTCCGGCTCTTGCACCGAGAGAAGAGACGACCGGGAAGACGAGCAGAAAGATATCGGCAGCTGCTAAGAGACCGTATAAATAGAGCGAACACGAAGGTCGCGGGAATGCTTCTGCCAGCGCAAACGCAGATCAGACGCCGGTGAAAGATGTTGTGTGCAGCATTTCAAAGTCATCTAAGTCGTCGTCGCGGCGATATCGCGCAACGATCGTTCCCATTTCAAGTGCACATTGCAGAGAAATAGCGAAGAGAGGAGGAAAAAAAAAATAAAATTATCGGGCATACAAATTGCATTTTCAAACGCTCTTCTTCGCGACAACTCGATCGCGTGCTATTATTTTTTACAAAAGATCGCGACGACAATAAACAGTTAACACTTCAACAATCAATTAAATTTTTGATTCCGACAACCTTTCGTTCTTCAAGTTTCATCTTTTCGATTGATAAAAATTTCGTTGTAATATAAACTGAAAAATTATTATTGTAATAACCTCCGACATATTTTAAATCGTAAAAATACACGTGTCGGAACATCTCCCCCGTTTCACTCATCGAACATCGAGAAACGCAATTTCTGTGAAAATCTAGCGTTTTCTCTGAAAATATGCGCGTAGTGGGATATTAATAAAGCGTCTTTCTTCTCTTTGTCGCGCCGTCTGGAACGTTTGTGAAAGAACACTTAATACCACCGGCTTATCATTGTACCATCTTCAACCGTCGGTAGACTTCTGTGTTTTCTTCCAACCTTTATGTATAAGCGTTTGTTCTTTCACCTCCCTCCCCTTCTCTTCGCTCTCATCTTTCCTCTTTTCTTCTTCTTCTTCTTCTTCTTCTTCTTCTTCTTCTTCTTCTTCTTCTTCTTCTTTTTCTTCTTCGTGAGAGTACGACTAGATGCAAGCTCCGTTTTCTACCCCCCGGTTATTCGACTTAATTGTTCACTCAAGTGGTAACTTCTCACGCTAATTTGTTTGCATCTAAGAGAAAAAGAGAGAAAGAGAGACATTCCGATCCGAACTTAATCCTAATCTGCGTAGTCTGATATAAACTTAAAGGGGGAAGACGAGAGCATCGCGTTGTCTCGAGACGGTAAACATCGAAGCTCTCGAAATTAATAAAAAAATATACAAAAAAAAAAAAAAAAAAAAAAAAAAAAAAAAAAAAGAAAAACAATCAACACGAGCACAACAGGCTTTCTCAAGACGTACTTTTGTTTGAGCAAAGGTCGTAGCGCGCGGTAGATATTATCAAAGTATGACAGGATTTATATTTTTGTCTGAACGAGCGACTTTTCTCGTAAAGTTCAGTCCTCGGCGTACGTCGATGACTAATATTTTATAGCACGGGGAATACCGCGGAAGAGAAAGAGAGAGAGAGAGAGAGAGAGAGTACTGGCGGTATTGAGCGGAAGTTGGAATAGGAGAAGAAAGTAAAAGTTTAACGCGGGAAAAGACCCGTCTGGACCTTTAAGAGTTTAATCGTTCTTCTCCGTCTATCCGCGACGATCATAGACATCACAGGGGATTTATAGTTGGACCCTTCCGGGTTAAAACGGGTCTTGCGTTACTCGGAACGATAGCCGGGGGAGCACGAAGTCGAGGGTTCCCTGAGCTTAAATCGAGTTTGCCTCGATATCGAATTTCGCCGGAAGCAAAATCCCCGATGTATTGTCTTGAAAGACCGGAGACAATATCGTTGGAGTTATACTAGTCGAAGAAATGTATTGTTTGAATTTACTTTACAATATTCAACAAGAGATATGGTCACCGTCGGACCAAAATCAAACCTTCGCCACTGCGTGCTGATCAAATTTCAAGTCGAACTACTTCGCACCCGTCGATCTTGTCCGTTCGTACACTTTGAATAGCCAAAAAAAAAAAAAAAAAAAAAATTGACTTCGTAAGAAGCGAAAAAAGCCACAATTTTCATTTCGAATTTCAGCAAAGCGGAAGGACGAAGAAAGTGGGGATGAAGTAACGACGCTATTTTGTTAACGTAGTCAGCGCAATTACATTGTAATTCAATATAAAGTTGAGGAGGAGTTGGCGAAAGGTGCGACGCAAGCTAGTTGCGCTTTCCGTGATTCAGTTGGCGGCAATCTAAAGTTTATTTGTTAGATTAGAGAGAAAGTGTGCGTGTGTGTGTGTGCGTGAGAGGGACAGAGAAACTGAGATTTATATTTAACTTCATCAGATGCAATTTACATGAAGACTACTAGTCGGATTCACTGACATTGCCATCTCGTGAGTGAGAGAATAAAGCTACGACACGACCACGAAGAAGATTGCATCTCGCTGACGATTGCAGCGAAACCTTCCGTACCGACGTCCAATGTATTTTCTAGATTGAAACTTGCGATCTTACCTGTGGTGATAATTCAGTTTTCTTCGAACTTTTTGCGAGAATTTCTCAAATAAATAACATGAGAACGAGTCAAACAAAATCTCAGTCTCATTAGAAATATAGTTAAATCAATATAAATGAATTGTTGTAAAGCGTTTGATGCAGCGATCTACTCACTGATTTTCTACAGATCGGTTTGATTCTTCCGATCTGGTGTTCTACAGATTTTTACAGAACTTTAACTCCTAGAGAGCCAACAATCAATATATTGGATTTGAATCTGCACGATAACTTTATACAAAAAACTTGATAAAAAACATTACATGTGTTTACAAGTTTTGTGTTGCGAATCAAATGTTTACAAGAATTCAAGAAAACAAATGCCAGCTCTTTAGAGTTAAGAAAATTTACACTTATGAGATAGAAAAATTTAGTCGTTAAAATATTATTACTGTTATTTGTTTCGCTATCAATACGTCGTTACTTCAAATACATGCTTTGGGCTATTTTACTAAATTTTGTAGGATAGTATTCGAACATTCAAATCTTTGTGTTTACTTGTAATGTCTTCATTCTATTGTTTCTAACAAATAAAGATAATTAACACGTCTGATTCTTGTACGTTATATTTGAAACACGCGTTGCAACACGGTCACGTTAAGTAAAGTAGAAATTGAAATGCGATGCTTATCTAACATCTATTATGCGCATACATTTTAGAACTTACCTCTTTGCCATGCTTATTCTCCTTCGCGTAGAAGTCCATAATCGTCCGTTTCCCCATCGTCAGCGTGTGTCCTTGAACCGCGATCGTGAATCAGCACCTACACGGCGCCACCAACAAAATTGTAAAGTTAATTAAAAAAATAAATTTTTCGTTTGTTTGTAAATTTTTAGAAAATGTGCGTGTAAATTGCGAATGGTTATTTTGTTTTTTTTTACGGATGTTTTTCTCCGTTCATGTTGTACACACACATTATAACCTGCGCGACGAAAATCGTCGTCGCGCGAGTAGTAATTTATCGCGAACATCACAGAATCCATATAGAACGACGTTAAAATGTAAATCGCGCAAAAATACATATTTGTATAAAATAAATATATTTCGTAAGATATTAAATTTTTACGTACAATGTACAACACAGTTACGTCCAATATGTCCGCTCCTCTTCTAACGCGCGCGCGCGCGGATAAATGTCTCACTCATTCGGCCGCGTTGATGTGCGTTCTAAACAGAATATGAAAATTAAACGCTTAACATACATATACTCGGAACAAGAACGTTAAATAAAACATGGAAAATTTCATAGTCAGGTCAGGATAAACGAGAGGAAGGAAAAATCTCTCGTACCTTGAAATATTTATCGTGTCGTTGATCGAATGCACGCGAATAGTAGAAGCCCTGTCGGCTGGAAAGGAGGGGAGAGAGGGCGTGCGGTACGGCGCGTGAAGTTGCGCGCAGGTCCCGGGTGTCACTTGTCAGTCTGCCGCAAGAGCTCGCGCCGCGAGGTTCGTGTTGCTCGTCGTTCCGTGACGTGTGCCCGCGTGAGCGTCGTATCATCCGCGAAAATTCTCATTAATGTCACGATCGCGAGGCCTCGGGAGAGTCGCGACTCGTCGCGGTATTTGCACGTCGATTTTCGCGCGGTTCTCGTCTCTCTCATCGTCGCGACAAAACGCGGCGGGTAACCCTTGCGGGAACGCGTGTAACCCCTGTGCGACGTGTCGCCGCGAGATCGTCGCCGGTTGCAATTCCGTTTTCTCGAATCTCTCGCGAAGAGGTGCTTGAGTGAAAAATCGTCGTCTGTTTCATTCCGCCGGGGTGTTCGCGAAGTGAGAAAAATAAGAAAAGCGTGAATTGTGATTTGCTTGCAAAAAGTGCGTGATTTCTCTCCCTTGGATTACTGGAAGCGGGTTGGTTGTCGTCCTGTGCGAAGTTGGCTGTGTGACTTTTTCCGCAACGCTCCAAATCGCGGGTATGTATGTATATATGTAACACAGAGCAGAGTCGAGTGATTCGCGCTTTACTCTCGAGTGGGATAACGGATGCCGTGTGCGACTCGTGTCCGATGCTGTTTATCATGTTGCGCGAATATAAAATGAGAGAGCGCGGCGGTGGGTGGAAACGAAAATTTTGTTTTGGCCGAGAGTCGTACTCGCCGCGAGTCGGTGCACCGAAATGGAGTTGCTTTCGTTCCGTCTCTCTCTCGCTCACGCGCGTCTCGCGTGTTTCGCCGCGCGTCCCGTGTGTGTGCTCGTCGCGCGCGCGTTCCCGGTAAAACCGTGGGAGCTACGTGTACTACTTTCAGAGCGGATACGCGCGCGTATGTATTTTGTACGGGATACGCGTTATTTATGAGTTTTTATTTGACGATTTGCGCGATTATTTTTTTTTTTTTTTTTTTTTTTTTCTCCACGCGACTACGAAACGTTTCGTTTCAATGAACTTGTTGTGAGAGAATCCCGTGATTTATTTCCGAATGAATTACATGACGCTTGTTTTGACAAACGGTGTTTCGCCTGTCGGTGTTTCGTTTGATTTGTTCTGTACCGTTTCGTAATATAACGCCATTTTGCAAAGTCGCATTTTACATTGAATATTTTCGAACGAATAATTTCTCTCTCTCTCTCTCTCGATTTGTTTTAATACAATTGTGTAACTCTATTTCTTGCACTTGTGCACACGCATCCACGTATCCCCGAGAGAAGCAATGTTTCACGACTATTTGCGAACACACGTAGATAACACGCGTCGAAGAAGTTTCAGCAGAAATTTTTGCAAGTATAAAATTATCTAAAAAAAAATAAAATTATCAGATTTATATTTTTGTTTTTAAAAATTGTGTAGTGTTCTGACAAATTTGCGAGGAAATAACTTTTGTCGCAATTGCCGTGCTTAAAAAATTTTACACATTTTTGAAGATCCTTGCAAAAAGTTATCTGGAGCTTCGACGAAAGTGAGTCTTTTTTTTTATTTTTTTATTTTTTTATTTTTATTCAGCTCACCTTGTCTTGGCAAACGCACACGTCTGGAACGTTCAACGTCATAGTTCGCGTATCGCTCGCGGATCGCGCGCGCGCACCTGTTGTTCGCGTTTCTTTTTTTTTCTTTTACGCGCGTGTATACACGTCTCTCGACGAGAGACGGGCAGACGCGATATGTGTACTGCGTATAAAATTATGCGCGCATGCCCGCGTGCGAGCATATAATACGCGTTTAGTCGTTAAGATCCTCTTAACATTCGCGAGCCGTACGAAGCGCGGAGGAGACGGCGAATCCATCACGAGCCGAACGCGATGATGACCTAAATGCAGCGACTACGTTCGCAGTCGCCACACGCGTTTCTTTGCGAATGGCCTCGAACACCAGTTTCTTTTTTTTTTTTTTTTTTTTTTNCGTTCGCAGTCGCCACACGCGTTTCTTTGCGAATGAGTAGTCACACCAGTTTTTTTTTTTTTTTTTTTTTTTTTTTTTACGCGAACTTGGAAATTAATTGATCGGAAATTGAACACCTGCGACTGACAGGCGCACGCGTATCAGAAGCGCGTTTTCCGCCGCGCTGCGAAACGACCGGATCTGAGAAAAATATTTTCGGAGAATTGTTCTGTCATTGATCGGTATCGTGTTCTCAAACATTTGTTTCACTTTATCTCTACATGTTTTTGTTTTTATTTAATTTACAACGAAGCGTAACGATCGCTCTTGCTCACGCGATAAAAGTGAGATTGGAATTTTTATATATTGTCGTGTATGAGATCTTCATTATCATAATTGTGCCGGTCGCTGTTTGGTACGTGCATTTCACAGCGGATGTAGCGTCATTTGTCGGTGTAATCACGGTCAATTATCTCGTAATTGTTTACGTTACGATGACGAATGATTCGCGTGATCATTAAGGGCGGAGATAAAGCGTTCGTTGCGAATCGCTAAAGGAAAGTCTGAAATCTCGTTCATAACAGGCGTTGTTTTCACACACGTCTTTTAATTTTAATATTATTTTTTTTCTGAAAAGTGTAATTGTTCGGCAAAACTTTCGTTTTTTTCTTGCTTCTAAAAAAAAACAACGAGAACGATCGCGATACTGTCGGATCGTCTTCTTCGTGTGTTACGAAATCGTCGAACAATCATTGCCAATTGAAACGTAATTCATCGTTATTGACTTAACAACCGTTCCGAAAGAGAAAGCGGATCGCGATTCCGTGACCGTTCACTTTTGATCACAGAACAGAGAGCAGCGCAACGTGAGCGATATTTCGATAATTTATTTATGACCCGCAAGGAGAGAATTCGGATCAATATATAATTTTACGTGTCGCCGAAACGTCGCAATCGTTTATTAACTGAACTCATTTCTCGCGTTAATTAATCTCTCTGTTTTTCAAAAGACCGATGAAAAGTCTCGTAAGTACGCGAAGACGCGCTATGTCGGTGAGAAACAAACGTGTGCGTGAAATTTTTTGTGCCTGGACATTTTTATATAATCCTGAAACACATGAAAACTCACATTATGACTTTACAACGACAATTTCAGCGGATGAATGTATTGCCATGTAAATTACATGTAAAATGCAATTACGTATTAACGCGCGCAGTTACATTTGAAATTGAGCAAAAAGCAAGCGCGGTTTTTCATGCCGCAGCGAAATTTCATAAAATGAGTTTTTTTTTCATGTGTCAAAGTGCTTGCGTGGGTTATATTTAAAATCTTACGAAATAAAAGAATGTAAAACTGATGTTTAAATTGAGATAAAAGTGGACATCTCGTGCGAATTAAGCGTTTGCGTTTTTTTTTTTTTAATATAGTAACATACTGAGTGAGTTTTGTAAATCACATAATTTGTGTATGGTTTTAACAGTTGATGTAATTTATAAACTATTAGGGCGTGCTTCATTGTTCGAAAAATCAAAACGCAGTATTTATTTCGTCAATGTTTCTACGCGTTGATTTCCGTATGTGCGCAAATACGTGGAACATTATATGTGTGTGAAAACTTTTTCAATTCAATTCTATTGTTATGAAACACGGAATGAATTACGCGCGTGTTAGCCGGTCTGTGAATCGAATCTCGCCGCGATGCGCATGATTCACTCGCGATATATTTAATTCACAAACGATACCAAACGAGATCGAAGTACGCGACGTCTTTATTGTAGTCGATTCTTCGTCATGTCGCGCGCGGTACATATATAAGATTATCATATAGTCTTATATTCTACGATCGAATGAAATTTCGAACTCTTTGCAAAATTTTACTTCGTCGAGGAAATTAACAGCGAAAAAGCGCACGCTGATATTCGTGTCAGAAATTACCGGCCACGTTTCGCGGCATTTTTTTCAGGCGAGACCGCAACAGCGAACGAAAAAAAAAAAAAAAAGACAAAAAAGCAGAAACAGGCGTAATTTCCTCGCGCCGTGCTTCCTCTTCTTTTTGGACGTAGAAGCGGGATTGAAATGGCCCGAAGCGTGTACGCCAGCCGCGGATATCCGGGTGGATGTGTCCGTGCACGGCGAGCATAATTAATAATTTCGGTGCGCGCCGTATGGCTCTGTGCAGGCAGCGCGGCTTTTTATTTTTTTATTTTTTTTTTTTTTGTCTCCTTCTTTCGCGCCACTTTTGTTCGCTGAATAATGCCGGGCGTTAAGGTGGAGTTCAAAATCGTCCGGGCGAAGCGCGGGCTACGCTACGGGGTTAAATGCCAGACAACGCACGTCGCAGCCCCTCCCCATCTGCTTGTATCCCATTTAAATTCAGTCTTTCCGTTCCTCCCCCCGTCTCTGTCCCTTCTGTCGATTTAATCAGCCTTCGGGAAACGCTAAATTAGATTTTCATCGGTCCCGGTTCTGATCGCGCACGTTCCCGTCGATACGTTTCAGTTTCTCGCACGATGGAAATTTAAATTTATATAAAAAACTACGAAAAAAAAACTTATGTACATTTGCAAAACTTTGTATATTTAACACTGCATCATTATACATACAAGAGGGGAAAGATTTGTTTATATTATCTGCGTGTTATTTGCTTCGTCCAAATTGGAACTGCGGCGAGTAAAAAATCGGAAAGTTTGATCAGAAAGTATGAATGGGGAGGTAGAAATGTCGTGTGCGCGCGCGTATAGTAATAACCATCGAACGATTCGAGCAAATGGGAAACGCATACGATAGCGGCCACATGTGCCATCATTTCGGGGGCATTGGTTTTTATTCTGACGTTGATATTCACGTGGAATTTGATACGATGCGTTCGTATATTTACCTCGCTATTGTACGTTACTCCTGCGGAGTTACACAGAACGCGGAATGTAGCGCGCGCGCGCGCGCACGGCATATTAGTTAAACCTCTCCCGCGCCATCCCCCGGAGTCGGGAGGGAGTTCGATCGATGATGGGAAAGGTATC